TGTTATTTTCTTATAAATTTCCCTTAAAGTGTCTGTTATTTCTAGTAAAGACAACAAGTGTAGGGGTGGAGGAGGCAGGAATAGGAATTGTACTAGTACAAACAATCGAAAAAACAAAATACAAAAGCAACAAATGCTTGCTTTTATAAAAACAATTAAAGAAGTCGATAAAATAATCGTGCACAGCTGTTTATAATAATAATAATAATAATAATAATAATAATAATAATAATAATAATAATAATAAATTAATTAATGCAAAGCAAACATTGAATTAGCTATAAAAACAAAAGGTAACAAATCCAAAAATGGAGATTTAGCAATCCTCATTGATGCTACAAAGTATTATCAAGTATATAATCCGAGACTTTACAGATAGAATGAAGAATGAATGGATGAACATACATTATAAAAATGACATCAAAACTCCTTTAATAAAGATACTAGCACAATAAGGATAATACAATATGCACACGTAACAGCATGGACTCTACTTGTATACATGCATGTACATGTATATGTACACTGGTTGATAGTTAATGAAAAACAACGTTCATTACATGTAGAAGGATTAGCTGGTAAACACCATGCAAAGTGCTTATGACAACATCCAAACAGTAAACAGCTAACAGCTAGCCCAGTGTACACTCATAAACACAAACACATTTGTTACTATGAAAACAACCTGTTGGTGTCATTAGACTGTACACAGAGAACGACTCACTCCTTACTCATCAAGTCATAACAAATAGACAAACAGGTTTGTAGCTATCAAAACAACTCAAACAAATGAATTAAGAGGCTTACTATGAACAAACACACATCTAATACCATAGTTTACTATAGACATTCTCTGAGTCATTTACTCCTACTAGTGTATAGCGATGCAAGTATGATAATAGAATAACAATGGCTACACACTACGTCCAATCCAAACAGGAAGCAATAGGAAAAGCAACAGCTGCGCATACATGGAAAGGATGGGCTGTTGTAGAGTTGTAGAAATGAAATAATACTAGTCTAATTGAAAAACAGGCTCACTCACATGACACCTCCTGTAGTAGTACACATGATTACTAGAAAATAGGTTACAGACAGACAAACACCTGTTCGATAAACAAGTTTACAATTAATTATAGTATAGCCAATAGACTGAACTATGTACGGGACCTCCTTAACAAACAATAGCCTAATTATAAGCAAGAATTAGTACCTGTGCTCCTATGAGGTAAATGAGTTTAGCTACATTTAGAGTATGGTATGTTAGCTTTTGAGCTTGGAAATTGTCTTTAATATCTCTTGATGTCCTTAAGCCGTGAAGAAACTTTGAAGGGCTTGATTTTTAAAGTTAGGAATACATTTTCTGATAGGTATCGATGTCCTTATGTTGTGTAGAAAGTTTGAGTTGATTCCGACAAATAATGTTCAAGTTATGGCCTTTTTAAAAAGGAGCCAAAATCTGAAAAAGTTCCTGTACTATAGCCCATGGTTTTTTCCAAAAAATGGCTCCGAAATCAGCCCAAAATTTTTTTACATTTTCTGATACATATTAATGTCCTTATGCTCTGTAGAAAGTTTGAGCTGATTCCGACTGCAATTTTTCGAGTTATGAGCATTTTTAGAAACAAGTCGATTTCTGAAAAAATCCCTGTACTATAGCCCATGGTTTTTTCCAAAAAATGGCTCCAAAATCACCCCAAATTTTTATTACATTTTCTGATACATATTAATGTCCTTATGCTGTGCAGAAAGTTTGAGTTGATTCCGAGACATAATTTTCAAGTTATGGCCATTTTAAAATGAGCCAATTTCGACGTAACTTTTTGAGTGATAGCCATCATATTTCATCGCATATAATCTACACATGCACATGTACACTGGAAATTAACAATAAGCATTCTCCAGTATCAATTATACATAAACAATTGACACAAAAATTAAGCTTATGGAGTGGAAAACATCTTAACTATACGCTCAATGATTAAAACATTCTCAGTCATGCCTTAACAACAAATGACATCTGAACAAAATGACTCACTAATAACACAATTAGTTATGCTATCAAAAAAATTAAGCTACAATAAAATGACATCACTTGCTCCAGGTGGCGTGTGCATGTACATGTACATGCACAAGTTGAATGCATCAATTACTTGCCTCATGCACTCGAAATGGTCATATACAATGAACGATAGAGCTTAATAAATAATTACTTAATTGATTATAAGATGGCAATTCCACTAAAATGACATAATTTATAAATAATTCATAATTATAATAAAAATAAATGTACATGTAGATCTATATGCTACGCGTGTTATTGTACTAAATACATGGAAGTACCAAGGATTAAAGATTATTAATAATTATTATTTGTAATGCAAGGTAATTTTAAGAGCCATGTAAATGTATGGCCTACTTTTAACAATATTTTCGTGGGCACTCTAATCAATTATTCGCTCTTGCTATCAAATATATATATTTTTAAAAATATTAATAATGATGTATAATACAACAATCCAATTACATAGACCATTAATCATTACGTAAGAAGATTATAACTGTTACTCCTACTATGAAGCTAATTGATAGACCACTACTATTACTACTACTAGCAGACTTATGTACAACAACAATAACAAACCAATCATTATTACTATATTGTACTCACGGTCTCATTTCAAAGGCGCCAGCGCATGTCATCACTATTTGTCCAGTTGTATTAGTGTAAACAGATCCATCAGTTCCTGTTTTTGTTGATGTACTAGAGGAGCCGTTACTCTCAGCTAGTAGAGAGCCACCTGCATCCTCTCTGATACTGTAGTTGGACAAATGGAATGAGACGCATGACTGACAGAGAGCAATAGCAGGACAATTTGAAGGGGAGGGCTGAGAGGGTTTAGAAGAAGAGCAAGTCATCTTGAACCGGATTAAAAGAGAGAGAGAGAGAGAGAGAGGGAGGGGGAGACAAGAAGAGGATGTTATAATTTTTGAGCAATCGGAGACATAAATGTAAAAAGAAAATAGAGTCAATTAAGAAAATAAATATGTGAACAGAAAAATAAAATCAATGTGTATTACATGTACACAAACATACATTCACAAACATAATGTACATGTACAGATATACAAAGTACATGTGTACAAGTACATCTAATTCTTACAGTAGCAGAAGAACTGCGACTATAAACTGATGGACTGCAAGGTCTTACGTAATACCCAGTGACATTACGGGGCACATAAAACCCATCGCTAATAAGAGCCTCGTATAAACACGGGGGCAAGTGGCGAATTGATGACGTCTCATTTAAATCGAAAGGATCTGCTCCAAAGAGACCTACAATATACCCTCCATCGTCCAGGAGGTAGTAAGAGTTGTTGTGTGGAAGAGTTATTTCCGGTAGTATTATTCCTGCCACGCCTCCAAGGATAGCGCTAGCTCCGCCTTCTTCTGGAGGCAGTGAGAGTGGGCGTACAATGACCACATTCACCGGATTATCAACTAATAATAATAAAACAAGACACAAAGATGTCATTACTATTGAATAAAAAATCCAATTTCGATCAGAATCCGCTCAAACTTTCCACACAGCATAAGAACATGTATATGTACGAGAAAAAACAAAGAAATCTCTCCCAGCCATTTTTGATAAAATATACCCACTTACTTCTATACACAGACAGAATATCTCCATTATGCTGAGCTAGTCCAATATAATTGACAGTGGAAATATTAAAGCAATCAAATTCACTAGAGGCAGGCCAACACCATAAGAGACCGGAGCTGAACTGAACAAAAGTACTAAAGGAAGAACAGGATCAGGTCATTAATAATTAATAACAGTACATACACTCATCATGCAGATACATGTAATGTAAATGTACAATGTGATGCACATGAAATACATTACACATAATGTCTACATCATGTTTACATCATGTGCATGCAGATACATGCACATGATGTAAAATGTGATGCACATGAATCACATAATGACCGATGCATGTTTGTAATTGTATAGTGTACATGCACATTATACAAACGTGTACATATATGTATGCACATATACGTGTACATGCTATAGGTGTACCTCAATATTTTTTCAGTGGCAGTTCCATTGTTTAGTAAGTGTTTATTCTTGTATGCAAAGTAGAGATCAACCAGTAGTGGGATGTAGAGTGACTCAACACATGATTCTGAACTGATTGAGGCATTGAGTTTCGTCTTGCACAGCTCAAGATCAATGAGTCTCTCAAGGAGCTGCAATACACTACTGGTATTAAGATAATTGTAATTGTATACATCAAGACAATAAGGCCTGGAAAAAAGAGTAGGGGATGAACAAGAGAGAGAGAGAGGGGGGGGATAAATTAAGGCCTTGCAAGTTTAAAGGAAGCACAGCAATATTATATGATGGCTCTACTCCAATTAAAAATGCTAATTGTTAAAATTAATCTCACTTATATCCGATTAGTAATATGGTTTCAGATTGGGCCTCTTCTGAATTAACAAATTCTGATAATTCAGTTAATTGATCGGCAGAGAGAGGACAGGAAGAAAAAAGGAGCTTAGCTAATCCTTCAGATGGAACTTTTATACCAAGACTAGGTACAAATAAAGCAAAGGAAGCAGAGAGAAGAGAAAGAGGATAAGAGAGGTAATTTGGATGACACAGTTCCCATTATTTTATTAGAAATGTTATAAATTTATTGCTTGGGTAAATATTATCATAGTCTAACAAAAAGACCGTCTAGAGCAAAGGTTTATACATGCAGCATGAGTGTGGATCCATGTACAAGTGTTTCTTGTACCTCAATGTAACGTAAGAGTTTTCCATTGGAGAGTAATAGTAGCTCATGTCTTTGACGATGTATCGTTTCTGAAAAAAATTACACATGAAGCTGTGACATTAAAATCTGAGATAGGGACATTTGTGCTTAAAAAGTACTTTTTAAAAATAGCAAAAAAATATATATTTTAAACCAGACAAATTTACCTGATATTCCATGCTGACATAAGCCGATACGTTCATTTCTCCAGTGTCCCTATTAATCATGTCGTTCCTCAATTCTTCTATTTTGTCTTTATCGGATTCGCTGACCCCAAACTCAAATTGTGTTATATCACGATTATCGAGATCACCTCTGACAGAAGAGGATTGTTCCAAGAGAGGGTGATAAACAGTGTAGCCATTATTATCAACTAGAAATGCAGACCCAAATGGGCCCAACTAGAAAACAGACAATATACATTGATACCACAGCTCAACATTTCTACATGGCTATAGACTGTATGTCCATATAGAAGATACTTACACGTACAATTCCCATTGTATGTGTATGCATGTATATTTCTTTTATAGACATACATATGTACATTTGTACCTCTACAGATACACAATTCCTGCTGATTCCATTATGCATATACTTATTACTTACCAGTCTTCCAAGAGTCAATAGGTCAGATCCAAATGATAATACATCAATGCCCATTACACCAACAAAGCTATGGCTATGTCTACTATTGCTAGTGCTTTCCCCCTCAGTCTTGTCATTACTGGTCTTCAGCAGCTTCACTGGTAGACTGAACGTGCTTATGGTTCTTTTAGTAAAAAGATCAATGTATCTGTGATTGGAGACAATAGTCCTATTTGAATTAGTATGATAATGATCGGTAAGGGCCCGGACACATGATAAGATCTTGTCGTAATTATTCACTAGACATAAAAAACCTGGAGAGAGAGAGAGGAGGGGGGAGGGAGAAAGGGGGGGGGGATGAAGGAATTAAGAAAAAAGAACAAATGCTTAATCTCAAAAGGAGGCTCATGCTTACCTCCATCATTGCATGCAAGTGTCTCCATTTCTTTTGACCTCTCATTAATCACTGAGACTTGAAAAGAATAAACTCTAATCCCTTTACCAATCCTTTCTTCAGGAAACACAGCATCTCCATCAGAGATAATGAGTATCCCTTTATGACAGGCAGTAATGTTCTGTAAATTAAACAAGTCAAATAGAAACTCTAATTTCTCTCTCTCTCACTTCTAATTTCATTACAGCATATTCAATAGCGCTATTAAAATCAGCAGTACCACTGGGCCTATTATCATCAGCTATAAATGACTGAATGATGACTTTATTCTCTTCCATTGCTTGAACAAAAAAATCATTAAAACAATTGCCATAGTGATGATAAAACTCTCCATCATTGATACTCCCTACTCTTAGGACCATGAAGAAATCATCAATGGAAAGGACATCTATCACTTCCCGGGCAATTAGCCGGGCTAGTTGGAATTTGGTTCCAAGCATGCTGCCACTTGAATCGATCAGAATAACAAAAGCTTTGTCGCCAGGTATAGTCTCTATATACCTGCAGTAATGCAATAATAATAATACTAAATATTGTGAGTTTGAGTTACCAGGGCCTCTGTCGTACATCATAAGTATCAACTCTTTCAAAAGGACAATTTTCAGGACTTCCAAACGGTAAGAAATCATAAACTAGAAGAACATAGAAAGAAAAAGAAACAGAAAGATGGAGAGAAAGAGAGAGAGCAATAAAAGAAAAAAAGAAAAAGGAGACCATGTACATTGTACATGTACTTAGACTAGTCAAGTTGAAAAGGTACATTACTTGGCAGTTTTATGAGGAAATCGCCAATATAAAATCTGCCATTTTGTTTCAATCTGAGCATGCTCAATGGCACATGGCACAAAATCGCCAAAATAAAATTTGCTGATTACTTCCCACAGGCAAATTCGCCAATACCCTCCCATATAAATCATCTTGTATGGTACAACTAAGTGCAAAGGCAAATAGATTTTTAAAGGCTAGTGAATTACCATATAGAAGGAAATTTTGGAGGTAGTTAAATTTGGCGAATTTGGCATTTTGATAACCAATTGCCAAAATAAAAATCTGCCACTTTGAGCCATTATGCGCATGCTCAATAGCACATGGCCACAGATTCACCAAATTAAAACTCGCCAATCATCAAAATTTAACAATTTGCCAAAATTTAGTCCCTCCAAAATTTTCTTCTGTACGGTACATAAAATTATAGATACACATGTGGATGCTTGATTAGTAAATTTACCAATTCTACATGTGCATGCATGCACTAAACTTTATTGTACATGTACATTTCCATGCATTATACCCACATGGAAAGGATCTATAAACACCAGTAACACTCCCAAGGTATTGACTAGTCACACGGATATCATGATCACTAGTCAGCATATTCAAGACCTCTTTAAACCGGTCGATTAAGTTTTGTGACCACTCGATGAAACAAAGTACATCAGGGTCTAAGAAAAAGAAATGATTCATTACTCCAACCATACTAACTATAACTAACTTACCTTTGTCATAAACGTAAACGGGAATGTGTATAGAAGTAGTGTTCACATTGACAGGGTTTTGAAAATAAGAAAGGAATGTAAGTGGTGGTGGGTTATTCTCAGCTTTGTTAAAAGCTCTTCTGTAATATGATAAATTACAGAGGCTTGGATCACATGATCTTCTAGTGCATTGTTTAGAGCAACAGCCACTGTCTGAGTGTGCACGGTATAACTTTTCAGCATATTCTGTTGTGTTCTATAATTACAAATGAACTTTATTAGGGTCATAGTAATAAGTATCAATGTATAAATAAATCAAGTCCAAGTTCTTTTCAGGAATTTTAGATTTAAATGCTAATAATTATAAATACAATAATTTATGCTTGAATCTATAGCCAATGTTTTTTTTCTGAAAAATGGCTAAAAAATCACCCCAAATTTTTATTACATTTTTTGATATATATTGATGTACTTATGCTGTGTAGAAAGTTTGAGCTGATCCCGACTTCGATTTTTTGAGTTATGGCCATTTGAAAAATCGGTCAAAATCTGAAAAATTCCCTGTACTATAGCCCATGGTTTTTTCCAAAAAATGGCTCAAAAATCCCCCCCAATTTTTTATTACATTTTTTGATACATATTGATGTACTTATGCTGTGTAGAAAGTTTGAGCTGATCCCGACTTCAATTTTTTGAGTTATGGCCATTTGAAAAATCGGTCAAAATCTGAAAAATTCCCTGTACTATAGCCCATGGTTTTTTCCAAAAAATGGCTAAAAAATCCCCCCCAATTTTTTATTACATTTTTTGATACATATTAATGTACTTATGCTGTGTAGAAAGTTTGAGCTGATCCCGACTTCAATTTTTTGAGTTATGGCCATTTGAAAAATCGGTCAAAATCTGAAAAATTCCCTGTACTATAGCCCATGGTTTTTTCCAAAAAATGGCTAAAAAATCACCCCAAATTTTTATTACATTTTTTGATACATATTGATGTACTTATGCTGTGTAGAAAGTTTGAGCTGATTTCGACTTAAATTTTTCGAGCTACAACAACCATTAATTTTGAAAAAAATGGGCCAAAATCTGAAAAGTACATTGTACTATACAGTTCAATGCATAATACCACCCATAAATGATTATTATTATAATTTCAGTATTAATCAAGGATACTAGTAATATATGCATGTACATTGCACAAGTATGCAAGAGTAGACTGATGTGCATACTTAAAATAATGTGCATGTACATGTGTCTTCATATTAATCTTTACTTGCAAAGCTTCAACAGTTATGTCAACCTTTTCACTGAGTGATTCAGACATACTTTCCACTAGCGCGCTTATATTCAATTTAGTGACATTATACTGTGACATCATTCGATAATAATTCTAAGAGAAAAAGCAAGGAAAAATGTACTACATGTATAACATACTGTATATATACATAAGGAACGTCTATCGTCATGTTACAATTACATGTACATGTAGTTCCCAGGCCAAAATGAGCTTTTTGTAAAAATATCATTCTCATAAGTTAATTTTTTTGATTGCCTCCCTCTCTCTCTCTCTCCCTATTACTTTATTCAATTCCTCAAAGTTGGTAGCTTCATTGAAGATATGCTGTAAATAAGAGCTGACATCATCAACAGGAGAGGATTGACTTCTACACGAAAGGAAGAAATAATTTACAACCTATAAAACCACTACTAACTCACTTTAGCTCTTTAAGATGACAGAATAACAGTAACAACATCAAAAAATGTATCTTTGTTGCACTTTTAGTCGCCATCTTTAAACGAACCAGCAAAGGGTTAAAATTGAACAAAAGGCGTGGCTCGTGTTGGTGCACTTTAATTAGAAAGCCACTTCGTCACATGATAAAAATGGCGATTAAAGGTCTCGTCCTTGGTCTCCTTTTTTGCTTGCTGTCCGTATCCTCTGGTGAACAACTCACCCCCTTTGTTGCCTGGTCGAACAAGTAAGTGCTTGCTTGTAGCGCTACAACCTCCTCCATTGTTTAATACATGGTTACCTTGTACAGGGACATTCTCAATGGTGTGACTCTAGAGAGCACTGATTTGGACCAGATACTCTCCGTAATCTTACCTAGAGCAAAAGATGTGGATTCCATTGTTATATTTGCTACTGAAGAGGTAGGAAATGACAAAATAAATGCATTTGGGCTTATATGGGTGTGGCTCATTATATTAATGAATGGGCGGGGCTAACTAGAATAATTATAAATTTTATTGTGTTAGTCAATTCAATCTTTTTTTATTATGGCAGCTCACTTTTGATGATTTTAACAAACAATTCGGTGTTTATGACGAGTTGTCGTCAGAGCTTAAAGGAGCTGTACTGAAATCATCTTCATACTATTGGACTGGTGTCAGTGACACTGGCTCTGGAGACTGGGTATCTAGACTAGCATCCTCTCGGGGGACAACAGTCCATCGTATAAGAGGTAAGAGGGAAAGAATCAAGGGAGAGAATTTGAGGAGGAGAGAGGGAAAGGATAAAATAAAATAGATTAAAGAGAAGTACCGTATACCATGACATTTATGTGACAAGAAATTTTTGCAAATTTTGCCATTTTTGTTCTTGTTGCAAAATTTAAATTTGCAAATTTACTGCTCCATTGCCATGTGGTCCAGTTTGCAAGCTATTTGAAAAAATTCATGAAATCTTAGAGTTGTAAGATTCTTAAAACAATTTTTGTTTCATAAATTTCACGGTATACGATATGTTTAAAGCATGGACTCATACGTTATTGTGTACATGTACATGTATAGGTTCGGCACGAAAGGGACTCGATCTAAATGGAGTGATTGTGGTAGAGCTTGACTCCGTGGACAATCAAGGTAGGCTAGAGTATTGGAAACATGTTGTTCCGCTCTGTTTGTTTGTTTGTTTACTTGTTTGTTGTTTGTTGTGAAAGCAGCTAAAGGGTTTATGCGTATAGTTTTATCATGTGATGCGGTCTATTCCTCTTATATACCTTTTTATAATTAATGAGATTCTTAGTCTCAAGTTATGTCAACATTTCAGTTTGTGCATACCGTAAATCCTTAAATAGAAGCCGCATTCGAATAAACGCCGGGGTAGCAATACAATTTAACTATAAATACGCAACATCATCTCAGGAGTGACTCAGTAGTCTAGTGGATAATACCTGGAGTTCCAGAAGTCAAAAGCATAAGGTCACGGGTTCGAACCCCACTCTGGGCCTAAGTTTTTTTTATTTTTCATATATTTTTTCGAGGCCGAAATACCATTTTAGGAAATAGACGCCCGGGCTTTTATTTAAGGAAATACGGTACACAAATGAAGATCGCACAATCAAAAGTGCATTTGCTCCATGGTGTTTGTTTGCAGCATGACAGATAGTGCTATACTTTGTGCTATGTCTCATGTTGAAGTTGTTATTGTCATTATTATCATTAGTTCAGTATGTCTGTATGTCTGTGTGATGGGATTTTCAATTTCACAAATTAGTTTGTGTGTCAATAAATACTAGTCGTCATGTGTCCACATGCATTATTGATGATTGGTAACAGTATATCTACATGTATACAGTGTACGTTATGTAGAAGTTCACATGTTTATTGTCTGTAATACAATACAACTATATTGTATTACTTGATATTGTATTACTGTGTCTTGTTATTGGCTATTTATACATTTTGTTCTGAATTCGATTTCAACCATTGATCGACCTTCAGAGTGACTTTTTGAAATATTTCAAGACGGTTTATTTTGGCTTTAGAAGCAGCGTGATCTTTTCCAAGGATGTTATAATAGGAATTACTGCCAGAGAGGAAACTATAGATACATGAACTATAGATACATTCATTCATTTATGGTGCTGAATATTACACTATACAGAATGTAGGGACGTGTTCATTTATGATGTGTAGAATATGCATGGGTATTGCTCTGTAGTACATACATGTAAGTCAGGGTTGTGACCATGTACATTTGAAAGCACTGTATTATTATACAACTACTTTTACAAGGCACTTATATACATGTACATGTACATGTAATTGTTAAGTCCAAATCCATTAAGTTTTAGGCTGTAATATTTAATTAAAAGTACAAGGTCCTTGATGACTACAAATTTGCAATGGTTTATTTCTTCTATGTAATGTAATTCTTCAATATTTTGATATAGCAGCCTATAGCCTGTCCTGATTCCTTGTAACTTAACCATGCCATTACTAAGCAAGCTTATTATTTCTTCCTTGTTATTCTTGGTACACACACACACACGCGCACACGCACACACGACTGAATATTGAACATGAATGTGATTGTTATTTCAATTTTCTCTATCAGATGCTGTTATTGGTGAACTCATGAGCCAAACAGACGACAAGTCATTTCTGGCTGTGTACACATCATCCCTCCTAAAGGTGTCTTGTTTATATAATTTGTTGACTTGACTTCCTCCTCCCCCTCCTCTCTCTCTCCCTCCCCCTCCCTCTCTCTCTCTCTCTCTCTCTTTTAGGAGCGACGGGACAAACGTGATATTCCTCTCATGGAGTTTGAGAGAGAACTTGAACCTCGTGCAGTTACTCCCTCCACTGAAAATACTGATACGTGCGGTTCACTGAAATGTAATGGAACCGAGGAGAGTCTTCTGTTCTGTCTCATTGATGCCTATGTTTATTATGATATTGATGGCAATGGGCGAGTTAATTGTTCGCTTGATGCCTCTCAGGCTAATTTTACTTATTGCTGCAGTGGTGATATCTCACCGTGAGTTCCTTCTAATGAATGCATCTGTTGTAAAATTACTCTTTCTCTCTCTCTCTAACAGTGAATGTAATGACACCACTCCATATGTTGCTCTCTCTTATCCTTATAATAACGATACTTGTAGAGGTGATGATTACATCAATGAGGGTACCATTTCAATAAAGTGAGTTTATCTCCATGCATTCACACTGTAACAATGCTGCATTCATAGCACAGTGGGCCGCATGCTAAATTTCATATTATTAAGCAACTGACAGGTGTGCATGGAATGAAAGTGACATTTAATTAATCGAGCACAATTTGATTATTAACTTGATTTATATTTTGTTGTTTTTTTCCTATATATAAAATGCAGGTTCTCTTTTGATGTCGATTCAAATGAATTTTGGTCTATCTCTATGACTGCCAATGTTACCAATGAGAGCAGCGTGTGCGTTTTTGATGATATGCAGATGAGTAGGCAGGAGTCTAAACTCTACTATCCTTTCAAGATGAGTCAAAAGTCAAGCTATGCCTGCTCTGCTACTTATTACAATAATTACACTCAAAATATAACCAGTGCCAACGCTACATCCGATTGTAGCCCAGGAAGCATGATTTTTGTCATTTTCAAAAATTTGCAGGTGAGTGTACATAGTATGTTTAAGTTGTTTGCCATTTAATATTAATGCTATAGCTTGAATATTTTATCTTTTATTGTTACACATTATAGGTCCAGCCATTCAGCGTGTCTGGCAATACTTTTTCGACTGCTTACAACTGCGAGGGTTATTTCACTCCTACGGCTTGGATGGGTGTGGTAGCTGTGGCCATACTCATTCTAATACTCTATCTCTCAATCGTTTCCGTCTTTTCTCTTCAGACTATTAATCAGTTTGAAGACCCTCGCGGCGAGAGTATTAATGTGGAAAGGCTTCATTAGTGATAGTAGCGCATTGCTAGGCGCATGTCTTGTGTGTATCTACTAAACAGTTTTAACTATATAGAACTTAATGTTATTATTTGTAATTATAATTTAAAAAATATTTTGATTTTTCTAGTCACGCCCAGCTAGGTAAATTAGTCAAGTACACGCCTTTTCTGTTGTAATTATATTACCACGAGTCCTGTCTTGTATTTCTGTTTCTGTAATTTGTTCTGTTTCTACTCTCTCCAGAGATGTTGCAGCCTCGCTGTAAGAGCCACACGTCAGAGGAGCTAGAGTTTTATTGTAAAGAATGCCGTTCCTTGGCCTGCAGGTCCTGTGTTCTCTCTCCCATTCACCGCTCTCACCCTCAGAATATGCTAGAGATTGATGAAGCACTCAACGAGGCCCAGGCTGTTCTCAAACAGTACATCAACAAGGCCAACAGCCTCTTACAAGGAGCAGAGAATGTCATGGACAACTCGGCTCGCTCTTCACAACTTCTACAAGACAATTCTAAGAGAGCCGAATCGAAAATACAGAAATATTTTCACAGAATGCGCTGCATACTGACCGACAGGGAGCACTATTTCGTCTCTATACTCAAAAGGAGCGTCGAGGAAAAGAAGAGGGAAGTGATAGAGAAAAAGGCAGCCTTCAAGGTCTCAATGTCTGGAATAATCGAAGGACTCAAGTCCCTGGACGACCTGAGCAAGAGAGATCCAGAGAACATTAGCATATTGAGAGACCAAGGTCAGGTCTTTGAGAAACTGGATGGGCATATGAGCAAAATGTCCGATAATATTAATTCCGATTCCATCGAGGTGGATTCCTCTGTTACAATGCCTTGTTTCGAGGATCAGAACTTTGAAAAGCTTTGTCGTCAGGTCGGCGATCCTGGTTTCCGTGTCTCCACGCAGAATGTCTTTGGGCTCCCTCCCTCGTCCCCTCTCTCGGCTACTCCTTTACTGTCTCCTTCGCTAAGAAAGAATACCAGTCAGCCGCCTGCACCTCCCGTGCCTCCTCGTCTTAAATCTAACTCGGTCAACACGATTGATCCTCGCTCAAATTCTCCTCTCACTTCCCCTCTCTCTTCTCCCCTTACTTCTCCAACTGGTTCCGATAGTTGTATTTCTAATGGCGATGGAAGTCAAAACCTCATCTCTCCTGCCCCTCCTCCCATACCGCCAAAGTCTCCGTCTCATGGTAAGAAAAAGCATCCACAATGGCTTGAGGAATGCAAGAGACAGTACGAGGAAGAAAAGGCAAATGATTATGAGGTGCCTTCCGTTAAACAAAATGGCTCCCAAAGCCCTGGTGGGAATAAAGAACATGTTATAGAAAATGGTCGCAATGGCATTAGTAAGAACCCGGTTCCTAAGCCGAGGAGTCGGACTCATGCTTTTCTCGGTGAGACTTGTCCTAGCGTTAGTCCTGTTCCTAAAGCTAGAACAAAAGTTTTCAAACCGATTGAGTACAATGATCACACGGTGACCGTTGAAGCTCCCACTCCTGGGACTCCTCCTCTTCCTGTTCATAACTTCACTTCATCTGGAGGTCCTCCCATTGAACCACTGGTAGTCATTAATTCAAGAATGATGACCGGACCAAGCGAATCCAAAGAGGATAAGATACGTCCATACGGAGTTTGCATTGGTCAGTTCAGTTTATGTTGCATTGTTAGTTAATGAATACTGTGATTTGTACCTCAACAATAGTTGATGTCGCATGCACCATACCCCACATACTGTGCATACCTGAGGGACATTGGGGGGATACACTTGATCAATAATCAAATTTGTGTAGTAAAATGATGTGTAGGTTCAGTCAACCGGTTCAATTAAGTCCTTTCCTCTTTCCTTCCATTATTACAGGTTCAAATTATGTCATTATTGTGATTGACAAGGTGCACAAGACTGCAAGACTGCTCAAAGGGACAGGAAAGTTTTTGGATTATATAGGAAAGGAAGTGAGTTTGACCAGCTTACTACAGTCAGCACAATGTACTCATTTTTATTTGCATAGGGTCCAGCAGAGGGGGTTCTACTACAGCCAGCAGCTGTTGCTGCTGATACTTCAGGCAACATTTATATAGTGGACAAACCCTTAACTTCGATCCCAAGGATTTTAAAATATTCTGAAACAGGTGAGTTTTTTATTTTATAAAGATTTTTGAACTACTGCACTCAGTAGTGTAATGTATTGAAACATTTGAAGTAGCAGAAGTGTTTGTATTAGCTGAGGTTATAATTATCATGTAAACACTTGAAAGGTTGTAGTTTAGCAAGCCAGACTATAGGATCGTTTTTACAGCTGCTATGAAGGAAAGCCAATAAAGCTTGAGACATTGCAATGGCTACTGGCTATGTAACAGTCCAAGATGGAAGATAAACACCAACACAGCTAGCCTTTGATATAATAAAGGGAAAACGAACCTACTGGAAGCAAAGAATGAAAATTTAATATTACTATCAATTATATACCTATTGTAATAATATTGCTATTATTATAATTATTTTTATTATTATCATGTAGGAAAGTTTCTGGGTAAAGTAGTCCCCAA